AAATCACCTATAAGCAAAACCAGGTTGATCTCAATTGATCTTCTTCAATTCATTATCACGCCTGTCACTGCTGAATTGAACGATTCACTCACGACTGGTGGACCGATGTTCCCGGTGGCCAAACAAACGTCCAAAACCCTTGGGTGACTGGTATTTACTGCAACTCAAATGCTTACCTACCTCATATGTAGAATGCTACAAAGCTACCGCTTCCAAGGCAAGAAATATCAACACTAACCTAAATCTGGATGCCAGAACCGTTGTATAGTGTATTGGATCTTCAATCGAAGGTAGGTGCGGTTTGTTACAGGCGTGCTCTTTCCATTCAATAGATTTATGATTTATGGGATATATAGCATGGTATAGCCCAGGCTATTCTTTCAAACCTTACCTCAATGCTGCGAAGAGGATCAAAACTTGTGCAGGTGAACGTTATGTGTACATATATTATTTATATAACACAAGCACAACGTTGCCTCCGGATCGGTCGATATGGTATGCATAATGTTGCATATACTGTTACACTGAGCAAACCCAAACATGCTTCCAAACTGATCGGCACATGGTGACCCACATGGTGCAGCGAGTCGTGGCAGTCTACGCGGATGAAGGAGACAGAGCCGGGTCAATGAGGCATTTGGAAACGATCCCGCTCTATCCACGAAAAGAGTTGCCTTTTCTAGAATAGTGGCCACATGCAACTGTGCATTTCTGGGACTCCGTAATGTTCTTGATATGTTTGAGACTACCTACTCAGCGGCAGTGCAACTGTCTGCGAAAAGTGACTCCTAGTAGTGGTCTACCAGCGGCCATGATCATTGAGTGTTGAAGTAAATGGAAAGAAAACAAAAACATAACTACTAGGTTACTATATAAATGACCCAATGATCTTCTGCACTGGTCGAAGATTACCAGTCCGACCAGTCCCCAGAAAGATGTCCAATGAAACGCAGCGCAACATGTTCTTCTTCCGTGAGAAACAACATACCATAACACATCTCCATATCACCTCACTCCCTTTCGCCGCTTTCGATTCTTAGGAAGTTTTTTAAAGGTACCACTCTTGAGCGAACTTTCTCCAAAAGGGTCTTTCCACCATTAAAACCACACCTGGATGTCCATCGAACACGGTGGCCGTTCTGACTCGACCATACAGACTCGACCGAGGCACGGCAGCTTGTCCAATGTGAGCTTATTCGCCTCAGGAGGGACCGTAGCTAGGGACCGCATGCGTAGCTGAAACCAAACACGACTGCATGTGCTTCAGAAGCACCACGACTTTCTCCCTGCTAGTAGCTGAAGACATGGCCAAGTTCACAACGGAAGAACCATGGTCCAACAAGTAAGGGAATGTTTAAAACTACTTCCATACTTAGAGATCATGTGTTGATCTTTTTCCACAGCCCTCTGCAAAGGGCTGAACATGCGCTGCCACTGGAGTCTGCTCGTGTGTTATCTGTGCTATCCTCAGCTGTCCTCACCTCTGCCCTCAAGGCCATATCAAAAAGCCAATAAGTGGAAAACAAAACATCTGCCTTGCATCCCAAAAGTCCAAACATCTCGATCTTCAGTTTCTCCCCAAGGATCGCTGGTTAGTGTTCTCAGTTCCCAGTCTGTCTTATTGTTGGATGTCTTTGGAACATTCTGGGTCCGCCTTCCAGGTCAGGGGCGAGGTCACCTACAAAAAGAAAACCGCAGGGGCGTTGCCACCTCTGCCAGCAGCGTGTCGATGGATCGGGCGGTCTTCAGACCCAAACACTTCCGAAGCATCGGCAGGGACGTTGGTGGTTGATGGTTGTTGTTTGAGTATATATAGTCCTCTGTTTTTTGCATTGATGATGTGTTTCATGAACACAAGACGTGTCCAACATCGTGCCTCTTGTTTTTGAAAGACATGTTCAATCTTTCGTTCTACTTGAAGATGTCATGAGCTTCAGATCCAAAACATGCCACTAAAAGCACCTAAACCAGCCTGAACCCCATTCAACCCCCCATAACGACCCCAACTCACCCTCTCTCACCCGTTTTGGACCAAAAGAAGCGGGGGCCCCCGACCACATCGGCCATCACGGTCATCGGATCGGTCGTGGACCTGGGTCGTTGAGGCGAGACTGAGTAGCTTCAGCTGTTGGGAGGGTCCCTCCAGCCTGGAAGAATCCAAAAGATCTAGTTCGCAAGCCTCTGGGTCTTTTTTGGCTCCCCTCCCCGTTCTCTTTCACCTGGGGGGCATCGCTTCTGCCAGTTGCACTCTGCCGGTGTTCTGTTGGTTTGGCGAGTTTCACTGCATCCACGAGGGCTGAGCAAGGATCCATGGCGATCTGGTTTAGGCATCGTTTCCTGGACACGTAGGCGTTCGGTTACACCAAGCATCCGCGCGAACGGCCGAACGTTCCGTGCTGAATGTGGTCGGTGGTTGAGTCGTTTACGACTTGCGCCGTAAAGCAGTGCCCAGTCATTGAACACATATAAGGGGGGTGGAACACATTGTAGGTGTTATGAGTGACGCTGGGCACGCATGGCTAGGCTCTCATGTTGATGAACGTTCATCAAGCCAAGCTTTCTTATTGGCATGAAACAAGTATATAGGATAAGTACAGGCATACGGGTAACATGACCAACAGAATACCGCATGTCCATGGAAGGGTGCAGCAGCTCAATCTCCCATAGAACAAATGATCGGACGCGAGGTTGGATTTCTTAGATACGAGCACTAGGGCATGGTGCTCCGAAAGAGCTGATCTTGGATTCCCATGCAAATGTGCCTTCAGATATTGGGACACAGTAGGGTCACTCCCCATTCTGGGAAGACCATTACAGCGATTATAGCCTGTTTACTCTGATACCAATAATTACCCCGTGGTCAACTCAACAATCTCAGCCCTGTCGTACCTGGCCTTCAGGACTGTCTGAACCCTCTCGTCGTTCACCTGAAGCTTCGAAGTTGCAGTGGCCGGACGTTGCGACGGGTTGCGACGGGTGGCGACGGGGATCCTGTCAAAGGGCCACACTCGGCAAAATCCAAACCTTTCCCTCACCTCCGGACCTCGGTGATGCACTTTTCGCCTATACTCAATTAGTCATTGCCTGCCTGAACCATTCGAAGGAACAAACCCGGCTGTTCCTCACAGAATCCTCTCACAAGTCCGGCTTGGACAGTCCACACCGTTCATCCCCATCAGTTGCAGGGCACTAATAAAGGTTGTCATGCCATTCGTCCCCTGATGATCTAATGATGGAATTTACTCTGTGTATGTATCTATAATACAAGTATATGAATAGTTATTGTTTAAACATTAGAAATATAAGTACAGTCATCATAATTAAATCAGATTATATACATGGGATGACCCTGCAAGGTCAACAAACGTGTCCAGGAATAACCAATGGTCTCCTCCGCAAACACCACACCGCCATCCGGACAAACATCTTCAACCCACTTACGCGCCGGAAAGCCACAAAAATACTTCAAGACCGTCTTCCTGCACAGAATCGCAGCGGAAGAATCATTGTCCAATCGAACAACATCCAATCGATGTACGAATTGATCCCATCCAGCAAACATTCAATCTCCTACCCGTCCAAACAACCTCCTCCTTGGATCCCTGGCATCAACCTCCATCTGTTCCAACCGCTGTGGTGCCGCCGGCCGTGGATGCGGTGACCACGCCGTCGCTGGTCGCCGCAACGTGCGCCGTGCAGAGCGTAGGCCCAGTAAGAGTGTCCAAATGGGATGGAGCACCTGGAGCAGCGAAGGAAAACACGATGTGCTTCCTTTTAGGACGGTATGATATGGATGGCCCCGCACATATGGATGGAACACGGAACATGGCAGTACGGCAGGAGTCAGCTCTTCAATGTTAAGATGGGCCGTTTCTGTGGGGGGGTGTATGGTATGGTATGAATGGTATGCACTTGTCAAAGGCTAGAGTATCTATACCTGGTTCTTCAAAGTGACCTTTGCATCCTTGGGCTTGAGGTCACTTAGGCCTGAAAAAGGTCACTTAGAGACTCCAAAAAGGTCACGTTGAAGAAGCTGGTATATACAATGTTGCTTTTTAAGTTTTAATGTATATATGTCCCGGTGGAAGCCTCTGTTGATCTCCATTGCTACAGAAGCTTAACTGTTTTGGAGAGTACGTAGAAACTGCATATCCTAGCCCGACCAAACCCACGAACGTTCCATTCAAGAGTGACTTTGTGTTGCCAACATCTCGCAAATGTACAATCAAACCATCTTCCACATTAACGAGCAACATTAATTGGAACGTCTTGATTGCAATTCTCGCAAATGGAGATGCTATTTTAGCATGTATGAGGACATATCTCAAAAACACCTGGAAGTGCATCCAACCTCTCTTTTGGCTCTGTTGGTCGCATCTCAGTCATCCCAGGTCGGGTCCCCGGCCAGAAGCCAATGCAAAAAACGACCAGAATCGGTCCCTCTGAGATGGAGCTCCACCTCAATAGTGGTCTCCGAAAGTATTGAACATCTCACCACAGGCGCAGGGTCCCCTTTCTCATGGGGCGGCACTGTACTGCCAGCAACCAGCATCTCTCCAAAGTCACCATGGACTAGCAGCTGTGCCAGCATCCATCAATTGGGCGTCGCTTCGTCCAGCCATGTACAAATCGACCCAGTTGATATAGGAAACACACTTTCATTTCGCAAACCAGTCTGTAATTAACACGTTAAAATTGCAAAGTAGGGCTCTCTGAAATCATCTCCAAAACAGTTCACAGCAAACTGTGTCAGAGTCCCATCTTCCCAAGCACAATCGATTGGGTGGCTGTGCTAGCGTGCAGATATTTTCGGTGCACTTGCTCTTGGCATGTCCGGGTATGTCCCTTCAGGAAAAGCAAAGCTCAATATTCAATCAACAACCTGCTGATACCGGATTTGCTGTCCAGGAACTAGTTATAGAAACAACAATCGTCCCCAGAAGGGGATTTGACCAGGAAAACCAATCACCGCAAAGCCAAGCCTATTATATATGGCTGGCGGGTGATGTGCTTCAAAGTTACCTGAGGTTTGGAGGCTTCATGCATCTCAACCCCTAAAACCAGTTTAGAATGCCAGCACCCAGCATCTCCAGCCACAATCGGTTGGGCGGCAGTGCCAGTTTTTTCTTGGGCAGGTTGCCTTCATGCTAGAGTCAGCAGGGTTTTGGGAACATAAATGGTAACTAGGAGTTCTACCCATGTTCCAGCGACTTTGGCTGGAACTGAGCTCTGCCTAGCTGCACTCGCTGCACAGTGCCTCGCGTCACAGCAGGGCCCGCTGCTCCGGGGTGAGCTGCTCGAAGTCATGGCGCTTCGCATGGCTGGAGCTGAGGGTTCCCGTGGAGGTGCCCGCTTCGTGAGGCGAATGGTTGAAGCACAGGCCTTTTTGAAAGCCTTCAAGACCTGACGTGGATTCAGATGGGTGTGTGGGGAGACTGACTCAAGGCAACGACCTCCAAGGAGGAACAAGAGATCAAACAAACTACTGGTTGAAGGTCTCCTTCAAAACACAACCATATTAGAATGAAATGCCAGGGGAGAACGACACCAAGCCACCGGACCCAGTCCTCACTTCACTGTCCACTCCACCTGGCGCATCATCATATGGACGTTGTCAATTAACTTTGTTCGATCCAACTTGGTTTGTTAGATTCTACACAAACCCATTGGACCGAACATGACACTCCGCTCTAAGCAGCATCCAATTCAATCAACTCAGCCTTCCTCCCAAAGCATATCCTCCTTCCCAGCGGAAACGTTGCCCGTCCCAGCGTCGTTTCCGCAAGACCTCTTCGCTGGCCCTGCTGCGGGGCACCATGGCCACGGTCACTGCCATCCGCGCCAACTCCGCCTCCGCCTCCGCCGCCGCCGCCGGGCAGGCGGCAGAAGCCGCCACGGCCCGTCCGGAGCCCACGAGGCCACCGTGTATGGTGCGAGAGTCCCAGAGGAGGAGATCACCCGGAGAAGCCAAAAGCAGTATGGAGTCCTGGCGAGGAGAAAAGGAAAAAGGCGCTTGCTGAAGAAGGGGATTTCTCATGTTGCGACCTTCCACTGCACTAGCACACTGAGATGCAGGCCCATGGAGGCCCCAGAGTCTGACAAAAAATGAGAACCCTTAGGCCCTACCTTAGGCAAATCAGGTGGTTCCTTGGCCTTCAAACAGGGGGGAGTAACCCTGTCTGAGTTGGGAGTGGCTTTGAGATGAACCCCTCGATAATTAGTTAGACTCGGTTAGACTGCAAGTAATCACACGGCTAGCTGTCAAGGGCATGGTTCCGTTGTCGATTTCGCCAAAGACGGTTCCTGTCACTGCTTCCGTTGAAACCGGCTTCATGCTTCCGGACGCTGACCATCCAACGTAACAACGGAAGCTCAGGACAAACTAAACTGAGCACGCTGATATACGCTGATAGTCACTCAGCTGCTTTGAGATGCTTTCACAAAACCACCCTTCCTGGTGTGCGGTCATCAAAGGACACCAGTCGCCCCGATATGCCAGGTGCGGTCGCTCTTCCTGGTGCACTCGGCGAGAAGCTCGGCACTGTCTGGTCTGGTCCGTTGGGTTTCGCATCACTTGCTGTGTCGAAAGGCAACTTAACTCCGAGGAGAAGGGTGTTGTTCCTCTACCAGGTGGAGGTCATGTCTACTTTGGGGCAGGGTAAGCAACACTTGTACAGTCTCCTTGCAACAAGGAATCAATTTGGCAGCTATGTAGTAGCCATTGTATTGTTGTTCTTCCACTCGTTGCCCTTCCATACAAAACAGCAAAGACGATTCCAAGAGTGAGAACTCACAAAAAATCAATGCATTAAAGCCTGTCCATTTCGATATCCGGTGTGTGTGTGTGCTTACAAAAACCGAAACACTTCTGCCAATAAATGCATATCAGGCCCTTCTTCTGTCCGTTCGTCCCTGCTTGGCCAATCTGTCCGTTCGTCTTATGGGACTTTCGGGTCCCAGCATCTTTCAGCGCATCTTTGGCGCTGGCCGTGTGTGTCCGCGGAACCACTTGAAGGCCTCCAGTCGTCTTCGTCACGGGTAACAAAGGGACCATGCCCTGAATGGTCTCCTGGGCATCGAGATGGACCGAGGGTTATACCAGAACTCGACTGTGATCCCATATGATCCCATCAATCGATTCTGGCAAAAACACATGACACTTCAGAATGGCCCCCCCCGGCATCCACTTTTGAGAACAGTCTCGAACATCCTATGTGGATCCGCCTTTTTTTTGTATGTTCGATCCCCTGGTGGTTCCTGGCACTTGTCGATCCACATCTCCGCAGAAAAGGAAAACAAAAAACCCTTAAGGTGCCTGTTTGATTGCCTCGGAAGAAGATCCGCCCATAACCAAGATAGGTGCAAGTGAGGTGCCAAGTTGGGCTTGTGGAAAGGATTTTGGTCCAGGTGGAGGGGCTCTGTCTGAGGCTTCCAAGCACTTCTGATCCACCAAGGCCGCCAGAAGATCTGAGCATCCATCGAAACGATCAAATCGGAGCTTCCTCAGCAGTGCAGCACAAAAACATCTGGCTACAAATAGATGTTTCACTTGAGAAAGAAACTCGGAACAAAGTCAGAAATCGTCCAAAACTATAGATTCCCAAATGAGGCAATCCCAGTTGAGGAAAGACATACCAATCAATTACAATCAACCTTGCAAAAGCTAGAACGCATGAGGTATCTGAGCATTGTTTCAACTTGGAATTTGCAAAGACTGAGTCGACCCAATTACTGGGGGTCTGACTAAGGTCCACCCAGTCTGCCTCCGGTCCACCCGAAAGATTCGGACTCGCAATGCAGCCAAGGGTCCCCAGAACTCCTCAAAGGCCTTCTTCACTCCTGGGCAGCTTCGCACAAACCAGGCACCAGCATCCTGCACCACACTGGTGTCCAGGCCTGTTGCATGCGCGCGCGTGTGCGCTGTGCGCTTCCCACAAATCAAAAAGACAAACGCGACTCGGAACTGATGAGCACCCAAAGACAAGCCCAACAAAGCAGTTCCATGTTCAGTGAACAAACATGTTACCATGTTGTTCTAAATGCTGCTGCGTCCGCACTTCGTACGCCCCGCCACGCCCGTGCAGCGCGCTCCGGGTACGGGGACGGGCCTGTGATGGAAAGTCTCCACTTGTTCCAGGTCTCTGGATGGTCACGAGAGATGTGGTGGACAGACTCCAGATCGCTCCACAACAAGTCCTTTCCTCGGAGAAGGAACGCTTGTCGCTCGTGGTGATGGACCCTTTGGAACTGCGAAGAGTAGTTAGAAGAAAACGCAGGATGCACCCTGGGATCCAGCACAAAAGATTCAAGTGGGAATATAATGGAATGATTAGATTCCTGTTCCTCATTCTTCAATTGGGAAGTAGATTTATGAATTGACAAAACAACAAGTCGCAGTAGACTGGCCCCAGCAAGTAAGATGCAAGCCTTTACTCTCCATCCTCCAAACCATTTGCAAAGAAGTCAAGCAAATGACCAGCTCAGCGACTGCCAGAGTTGCAAACGTTTTGAGACCAGTGCTGGCTTCACTCCCGTTCTTGAAAAAAAATAGGCCCAGCGTCCACGCTGCACCTCCTCCAAAGTCAAGGCCCCGGCCAGGACGACGTATCCTGGATGGGAGGGCTGGATTCCTGGATGGATGGCTTGTTCTCAACTGCAGTTTGAGTGAACATGTTCCATTCGCCCTTTTGGCTCATTTTCAAGGGGAGATGCGATGGAAGCTGATGCTTTGATCGATTGGATCTGTCACTTAGACAAGAATATTATCCATGAGTGTGCTGCAGCCCCGCTCCTAAACACTTGGTCATGGGTGCAACAAGCATGGAAGGACATGGGTCAAAACAAACGAAACAACAGCTTCCTATCGTTATCAAACCAGCTTGCATTCTCAGCATCAGCAAGCTCCCCCATCTCCTTCCTCTTCGAGATGTCGACGCCAAAGCTGCACCTCCGCCAAAGCAAAGCGGTAGGAAGCCGTCTCGACCGGACCGGCATCACCTGAGCCAGCGGGCAATGTTTGAAGTAGCCTGGCCTGCTATAGCAGGCCAAACCTGAGGTGTCCTAATGCAAAAAGGAATGATTTTCCACGGGGCCAGTAGGGCATGGCTACGTCTTTGGAAGCATCTATCTGCAAGTCCTCAAACATGTGTGTATGCAGCATATAACAACCCTGGTGCCAGCCCATGTCTTACACCCAGCCCAGCAACTACCTATAAAGCTAGAAGCCGAAACCATTTGCCGTGGATGTGGAAGTCTTGTTCTATGTAAGTCAACACCCAGGCTAATTGACCAATGGTCCTGTGTGCTTGCGTTGTGAGGCTTCAACATTGTGAATGGAATAGAGTTGCTTTGTCATCTTGAGTCATCTTGTGTTTTTTTCCCGGCCACCTGCATGACCGAACGTACATAGAAACAAACACAACGGTGCACCGGTGCACCACTACAGTCCTGGATAATGAAAGACCTACGACTCTATGACAATACTACTGTATATTTAAATAAGCCGGAGTGCCGCAATTTCAAATCGACTCCTTGCTGACATTTTACGGACATCCATGACATTCCCCTTTAAACTATCCCAAAACGGCAGCTAGCTGCTTGGAGGATCTGCAAACCTGCTGCATGGACTTGGGGATTTGTCCTGACAGAGCCTTCCACAAAGCCTGGTTTCCACACCCTGGAAACACCTGACCCAATGGATTCAGTGGATACATGACACCCTTCCGATCGAATCGGCTGCTCTTTTCGTGGATCCTCCCCATGGTCTCCCCATGGTCTCCTCATGGTCCCAACTGATTGCAGCACACGGACCAAGCGGGCGAACACGCACCACCGGGTCAAGATCCTTACAGGGAGAGGCTCGGGATGAGCTTCGCTCACCGGATGGACGTGCTAGCGACCAAATTCACAGCGGTGGGTCTGGGACTCAAAGAGTTGATCTTGGAGGATGCCGTGCCAAAGAATTCTGGAACGACCAGGACCCCGCCAGTGGGATTGCAACATAGTTATTCAACATATAGTCTTATACCAGGACCCGCCTGTTATTGGGAGTCTATTTAGGGCACCCCTTAGTTAGCTGTGATTTGGGGTGTCCATTCACCACCCTGGAGCTGGGGGGTCCTAGTTGAAGGTGGTTGGTGTCAGGCTCCAGGGTTGGATCAGTCACAGTCCCAGGTCAGTTCTCAGTATCTGCCCAGCTTCAAGCGCGCTCGAGGGAGTAGATGCACCCATTGCGGCAAAGAGGCCACTGTGACAAGGCCCCATCAATCAAGAGGCTAACTTGATGTTTTGATTGATGGGCATGTGGAAGGTTCTGAAGCTGCATGGGTGGGTTTTGTTCCACTGGATTGTTTGGAAGGTTCTGAAAAAAATCATGTCATTTATGCTCTGGGGGTGCTCGGTCGTGATTTCCTGCCAGGAAGATGTGTTTTGGGGGAAATTCCACACGAGGGTTCCAACGGTTTTGAGATTAAAAAGAAACGAAAGCTACCACGAAACAAAAGGTTACCTATGGTTCTCGGATCCATAGTGATTGCATAGCTATAAAGACTATATAGAGGCATGTACAGCACCCACATCCGCTCTTCGTACGCAGGTCAAGACCTCAGTTTGAGCAGCTCCCAGAACGTCTCTGGCTCATTTGTCGGATACGATTATCTGCTTCGATGGACCAAAAATACATTTTACATTATCTAGAAATCATTCAAACATCCAAAACAATATTATCTGACTGACCAGGAGACAAATGCGGTACTTCTTGGCATCCAAAAACCTCATCAACCGGTGTTTGTGACTTTGGACTTTTCTTGGCAGTGACTTCTGAGGCTGACACACTTGCATCCGTTCAAAACCCTTGAACCATCCTGAACCACCAAAGAAAAAAAACAGATTCATTGAAATTGCATGAAATGGCTGTTCAAATGGTTCATTCTTAAACAAACAGTCTTTAGATGTACAAGTATATTAAGAAGCCACCTCTTCCGCAAGAACCTTCTGCTTCCGACACGACATCCAATACGACCGACCGCACCTGCACCAGAAGCTCCAAAATCACCAGCACCACGGCTACCCGCCAAAGCCTGGAAGGCTGCAGTGCCGTCAGGTGACTGGTGTGACGATTATATTCGAACTCACATGTCTGTGACCGTTGGAATCATTTCTCAAGGCACGGTGCCCTAAATGTGTTGTGACAACCTGTAAATGTGATTGACTAAAAAGGGGGACCTGTCAAATCTCTTTTGTGGCCAAGCTGCATGAGGATATGCCACCGTTTCTTGGTTGAGTCTGTTGGACTTGACTTGATCATTCTCAAACGTGGTGCTTTCGGATGAGCAAGTTGGTCATCCTGAAGCTGCGAAATCGTCCTACATGCTCGGAAGATAGATGAACATATACCCCCAGTCGGGGTGGTTAATGGACACTCCTTCACAAACACCAGGGGCTATAAATAGAAACCCCGACAGGAGGGTCCTGGTAGTGGGCTTTTTGTTTTCACTTTCATGATCTCAGTCATTGTTTCACCCACGCCAGTGAGCAGGGGCAAGTTCCGCGTCACCCTGTTCTCACCCGGGCGTCCCGGGCTCGGCATGATGCCGGCGAGCCAACAAAGGGATGACCTGGCCGATTGGACAAAAATCGGCCCGGCTCCTCACCAACCGAAGACCTGGTTCACCACTTTCAACGACGACGAAACGATCAAGCATGCGAACAAAACGGAGATCAAAGCATTCCTCGTCATACTCTGGTGATTCCTCGTGATGTAAAAGCATTCCTTTGGGCGATTATTGTGTAGGCTACCGGCGAGACCGAACGGCTATCTTGTAGACGGGTGCTTTGCAGGATGAAAACCACACCTAGTCCATGAGCTTTTGCCATGGATCTGCCACCGAGATATTGTCATTCAAAGGCAGCTTTGATGGATCACAGTATTCTGCTCTTTATATCTGCCACAAGGACTCATAATATAGAACTATACCAACCCAAAGTAAAGTTGCTCCTTCACAATTGTCGAGCATTCTGCTTTTGGTCGGTCTCAGAAGGCATCGTGTTGCTGTGATCATCGGCCATGAAGGTCGAAACCAAGCTGCTTCCGCTGGTTGCATCATCGGCCATGACTGCTTTTCGTGGGACAAAAGGTAAAGGATTGCACCATATTGCAACAAATCACTGCGCCAGTACTGCAACACCACTACGCCAGTAGCTGCAACTTCTGAGTGCCCTGAAAACGATCTTCGATTGCAGCCCCGAGTCCCGAGTCCCGTCACCGAGGCGTCCTTCCCTCGGTCACCCGCTTTTGGACGCCCGACACATCCTACGAAGTGACGCCATAAGTAAGCTGGGCAGGCCATGTCCACGTGGAGCTTCAAGTTCAGTGTGAAGCTGTGCATCAAATGCTGAGGCCTCTGTTTTTAAGGCTCGCAGTGGAAGGACACCCATGAAGCTTTGTTGCTTCTCGGGTTTATAATTAAGCAAACACTTCAAATCCCTGACAAACAAACATCCACACATGTTGCTATTGACCCACCATGGTCTGCCGTCTATCTGAGTCTATCTATTCGCAGGATCAAAACCTCCCGTCTTTGCAACTTGTGCAATCCCTTCTGGAGCCCAACAAACCACGACAGGGTCGACTACTGCTCCCACCAAGAAAACCTGTGGCCTTTGCAGTGGTAGGGGGTTACCATTCCAAAACGCATCAGGATATTACAATTCCAATAACTCGCATAGGAAAAATAACACATGGACTGTCAGGCACATCATGATACGGCCAAAAGCAAGTGTGCAGCCTCTAGAGCATGGAGAAAACACAGACACAACATCCCAAATTATGGATTTCTCATCCTTTCTTTGCTGGTCAGCTGTTCTCTCCCTGCGGACCCGCACCGCTTGAAGCAGCGCCAGGTGCGATATCGCCCCCAGGCGGTCCAAACCAAAACGACCTTGAAACCGTGTGGAAACGACGGATCCAGCGACGACTGATGCAGTTTTTGGTTCTATGTCCATTGGTCGATAGAGGATGAGGATGAGGGTCATGACTGAAGATGATGCTGACTTCTTGAAGCTTGTTATTGCTATTAAATGAATGTTATCAATATTCCCTGACACAAAACACACGATCACAGAAAGACACTGACACGCATCAACCCTTGGAACTTGGAAAGCTCCATTCATTTTTTCCGGAACCTGGTGGTTTGCACTGATGTGCCCTTCTATTTCGCAAGAATCACCACAATTTACTGCTGTACATTTTCCGTCGGGCATGGTGAGTTTACGTTCAGATCCGCCTGCGCCACCAAGCAAACCAGTGCCATGAGAGCCGGGATGAGGAAACTGCAGAGCGCCGGAGGTGCCGGAGGTGCTCACAGTGGTCCAAGAGATCTGGTGGTGAAAGCTGTCCTACTTCAAAAGGACTTCTCTCATGAAGGGTATGGACCTCCAGGATGAACAATGGATGGATTTCAAGTCTGATGTGAACAACTGCTGTAGATGAGTGGGTGAATCTATTGCTGGGGGATCTCGTCCGTGGCCCGATGCCCAAAACTTAAACTCATGAGTGCCAGGAGCGCCTCCAGACACCAAGCCCAGCACAAGCTGGACCACCAGCTGGACCATATCTTTGGACTGGAGAAATGGAGAAGTGAAAAATCAAGCCACCAAGCCCCAAAAGCCTCTGAAGAACTCCGAAACGGAGCCAGCTGATCGCTATACATGGTGCAATTTTCAGGGCCCTGGACCGTCACCGACGCCATCCGATCGCATCAGCGTGAGCTTCGAAGGACGAACACGACCTGCAGTCGACTAGACATACGACTGCAGAATCAACAAAGTCCCCAAACGAAGTCCCCAAATAGGTCTTCAGCTGTCTTACCATTTCAATCCATTTCATCCATTTGCTCATGGAAATAGCTGGAATCCCACTGCCTTTAAACTTTAAACTCGATCACGCTCGATCAGTATGGCTCAGTCTGAGCTGCATCACCTCCGTCTGAGATGGTCTTCACACCAAACCCCAATGATCGAATGACCGCGGCCCCGGACAAGATGACGGCATCCTCGACGCGTAGCAGGACCACCCTGGCACAATTTGGAGAGACTCGCGCGGGGTTGCGGGCGGTCATGGCACCAGACCGAGCAGTTGACCTGGACGGGGTGCTGTCGGGGTCACGACCCATCCCAACATAAAGGAGCCTACGATCAGATTGTAGCAGCGAGTTTCTTGGAAGGTGGGTAGAGAAGGTATGGGGAGGTGAGGCTTTCTTGGGTTCAGACATGCAGCAAGCCCCCATGGTCCGTGCCTAAAATAGGACCATGGTCTATGCCATGGAGCACAAAATTGCAAGGTTCGTTGGATTGGACTGATTACACTCCCGAAAACTAACATGGACTCTGAGAATGGCACCCTCAAAGCTGTTTTCCTTTACAAACCAGTTCTTTGTGAACGGAGAATTTAGGCTCTTAAACTCTGTGACCCCAAGTCACTGTCCCAAAGGTTGTAGTAGAAGCTTAGGCACACTTTTAGCTCAAACTCGAACAAACGGATTGAACAAACGGCTGCAGTGAAACATGCATCTATACAAGCTATGTCATGTACATGTAACTGGTGCTACATCTGATCACGCCTCCCGAGTTTAACATCTCCCAGAAGTTAAGCGAGTCAGGATTAGCACTTCGGTGAATTAGCTCGTAGCCCTTCAGTACATCTTGGTCTTGAAGAAGTACCTACTCTAGCTCAAGCCGTTCACGCTTTCAAAGTCAGCTCATGCTCACCTTCCAAGTAGTGGAAGTTCATGCCTTTCATGGCTGTAGTCATTTTCTCTTCGGTGACAGCTTTCGTTAGCACATCGGCCAACATTCGGTCGGTGCCTTCTTTCTTGAGACGAAACTCTTTCTTTGCTGTGCGCTCTTGTACCCAATGGTATTGAGTGTCAACATGTTTAGCTCGTCCCAAACCTCGACGGTTTCCCATGGCGATGCCAGCGGAAGCGTCCATTGTCACCTCTTTGCTGGGAAACAATCCCCAGTCTCTTGCTGTTGATGCGATTCCAAGCATTTGACATGCTCCAGAAACAAGTCCGTAGTACTCGGATTCGCCACTGCTCAGGGAGACAACTCCTTGGCCTTTGCTGTATGTTGTGAGACAGCATTTGTTGGCCATGAGCACGCCTCCTGACACACTCTTTCGTGTCCTTATGCAACCTGCATGGTCGGCGTCTGACCACATGTTGAAGGGGTTGCAGGTGCTTTGGTTTGGAAACAACTGTGCAACTC